TGGTTGTCTGTTGTCAGAAGACCAACACTCACAGTATCTGATGATGAAGTGTCGAAAGACTTCCCGGGTGGAAGTCTGCAGCAGCGCCACCACTCCTGACAAGATGACCTCTGAGGAAGAAGCTGCAGCTATGGCTGCAGCGCCACTACCCTGGAACCCCACTCCGGAGGAGGGTAGAGCATGGCACCAACTTCCCTCGCCTCCAGCAGACCTCTGATAGCCCAGACCTCTGTACAGCCCCGCGTGCTGACAGAGTACAGCGCAGGTCCCAGCTATGGTGGGCGCTCCGAAGGTCTGGCTATGTCTGTCTCCCTCAACGCTGAGCCGTCACCACTTCCAGTTCACACGTTGCACAGCAGTGATGTACTCGGTGCCAACGGACAAAAGCCCTGAACCGATGTGCCCATCCTATCTATAGTCTAAACTAGCCTAGACTCGACCTAGACCGGACTGACTGACCGACCGGTATCGTTTCTGTTTCGGCTATAGGCTATAGGACCGTCTAGCAGCTTAGGCCCTTAGGGCCTGTCTGTCCTAGGGGTAGCCCGAGCCTGCTATTCCCAGTTAGGATAGCTGTAGGAATTCCAGTTAGTATGGGCCTATATATTTTTTCCACTAATTTACAGATATGTCCCTACCGGATTTCCATACAGGCAGGTCTCTTGGTTAGCCCTCAGCCAAACAAAATTACGAATCTGACCTACAGATGGTACAGCCTCGACAAGAGAGAGGCCACAGGCGACCAGAAACCAGCAAGTCATTGCACTGCCTTCATCTCCTCTCTCCTCCCACAGCCCTTCTTCTTCGTCTTCCTCTTCCAAGGACCTCCGCTACTTCACCACCACGTAGCAACGGTGAGCTCAGCTTGGGTATGGCTGCCTCGCCCCCTTCTTCCTCACGCTCCCACCGCCGCGGTGCTTCTTCTCTGGCTTGCAGTGCTCAAGCAGATGCTCTGGGGCACTTTTGCACACTGCCAGCCCGAGTCCCCGAACGAGTCGCCGTCCAGCCTTTTGTGCTGGCTGGGAGGCGGAGCTGCGTCCAGTTTCAATCTCCTGTGCCCTGGGCCCCTCCCAGAACCTTCAGGAGGCCTATCCTGAAGATGCCTGGGCCTCGTATTGTACAGCTACCCGGTGGCTGTGCCCTACCGATTAGTTGTAGATGGTACGCACAGCATCTCTCTGCGAGGCAGATTGGCCTGTTTTCAGGCCCCACTGCAATTTTCTGCTGCCCGTCTTCCTTTAGGGCGGGCGGGGGCGCCGTCAGGCGTTGCGGAGGTCCTTAATCCTAAGCACTCTTTTCTGCGCATGTGCCCCAAAGAAACGAACAAACGTTGAATGCTTTGCCTCTGCCTAGGTGGATGACAGAACTGTGTGCACTGTTTGTCCTGTGGCTTTATTTTTTGGTACAGCTGCGGTTTGGCGAGACGAACCTTCACAACTGTGAAGTTATGTTGAAGGACTTAGCAGACTCTAAGCGGATCAATGCAAACATCAAAAGCAGTCCGGCCGCGCTCCGGAATTCAATTGCGGCAGCTCAGTCAGCGTCGTTATTCTGTGCTTCTATGCTCAACATGTCAGGCGGGCAAGATTCTCTCCTGAGAGGACCGGCGTCATCAATTCCTTCGATGCTCGCAAGCCTGCTGCCGTCAACCTCAACCTCTGCAGCCGGATCGTCGAGCGGTTCGTCCGCTCAAATTACCACACGGACGCAACGACAAGGTTCTGCCGCCGGGCAGCTCCCCAACCTGCCTAGCGGTCAGGCGGCACTGTCGTCAGGAACAATGGCAGCAACAATTGCAGGGTTGGCAGCCAATCAGAACCTGGGAGCTCATCTTGATCCGAACACTCGGCTTGCACTGCTCAGAGCGCGGATGCATGCGCTCAGAACGGCCGCTTCAGCAGCTGCTCTGGAGGGACCGCTGGCCTTTGGTGTAGGTGGCGGTGGCGCAGGTGGAGGCCTCCCATGGGCGGGAGACAAAGATGATGATGACATGCTCACCGTGGATATGATTGATGCCACAATTGTTTCGGCTCTATTCTGGCCACCATTTCAGGTGTGTGTCACTGTGTAATTAACTTTTCGAGAGTTTTTTTTTTTTTTTTTTTTTTTTTTAATAACTACCCTAAATTCTTCTCTCATTATATCTCCCACTACCCACCTATCTACCTACTTCTAGTCCAGTTGCTTTTTGCGTATGAGAAGTTATGCAGTAATCCACATCGCTGCACTGAAGCTGGGCCTGTCCCCTTTTCTTTGGGTTGATCCTCAACTCCGCTCTTTGCGGGGAGCAGTACCCCGGCTCCTGACCCCTGGTGCGGGATGGAGGGCCACAAGCAACCTACCACCACCCGCCAGGGGGGCAAGCCATCTATCTCCGCTGCTGAACCCGATGTGTGCTGCAGGGGGCTGCAGGGAGTCCAACAGATGACTTGGGAATCGAACCCACGACCTCCTGAATGCCACCTACGTGCTCTATCAACTGAGCTAGGCCACCCGTTTTGACAGTTTTTGTTTTGAATGCTTTTTTATGTATTTGTCACTATTTGACATTTGTTTATTTATTTATTTCAAATTATTTGTCTATTGTTGACTCTATTATTCTATTTTATTGTGTTTCCCCTTTTTGGAGGTCTGTCTAGATTTTTTTAATTTAACAAATCTAATGATCTATGTGCTAGGCTACCAGAGTGGCCCGGGACGGCTTGCCTAGTCAGGCAAAAAAAAAAAAAAAAAAAGTAAAATGATTTAAAAGATTTTTTTGATTTTATTTTTCATTTTAATTTTGTAAAGAATTGCGATGTGACCCTGAGGCAAAAGCTTTTCAGTTTAGTTTTCTGCATAACATAGGGTTTTTTTTTCAGATTTTTCAATCATTTTTGCAATTTTCTTGGACTTTTTTTTTTTTTTTGCTGGGACCTTCTTTCCCCCTTGCACGGCCGGGCTGCCCGGACAAAGAAGGTGACCCGGGCGTCCCGGCTGGTAGCCTAGTCTATGTGTTTATATTGCTTTTTTTTTTTTTTTTTTTTTTTTAAGGTGTGTCTGTTGCTGTGGCTTTCGTGTCCACTAACATGTGGCCTGTCTCTTATACACATCTAGATGTGTATAAAAATAGAGAGAGAGAGAGAGAGGAGGCAGATGGAACAGAGGGAGAGAAGGCAGAGCCTTCCTCCCGGTACCTGCTGGTAGCTATGGCGCGGNTTTTTTTTAAGGTGTGTCTGTTGCTGTGGCTTTCGTGTCCACTAACATGTGGCTGATGAGCCAACATGGTGTGTCCGATGCGCTGGAATTTGCACCTCTCCTCTCCCTCTTTCTCTCAAAAAAAGGAAGAAGGGGAACAGGCTCTTGACTTTGTTATTGCAGGCAGCGGTATTTGAACTCTTTTGGGCTCTTTCTATTAGGACTAACGTACATGCACGGTTTGGCCACAGAAGTGAGTAAAAACTGCAACTTGCTCCTTTATGTTTTCTTTTTCAGTAGCACTGTAGCTCTCACAATTTTGATTTTATTCGCATGTTTAGTCAGGCGGCCATAGGTTTCTCCTAAGAAGTTCAACATCCGTTACTCCTCATTCTCCCTCCTTTAGTCTTCGACTTTTCGCGGGATGACAACTGAATCAGAAAGTTTCCTATCCCTCGCACCAACACCATGACTACCTTTCTCTCTCCTTGCTGGATGTCCTCACTTTCTTCTCACAACATGTCCGTCTACCTGGTTCTGGTTTGGGTTCCGGTTTTGGTTCCACTTCTGGTTCGGGTTTCAGTTCCGCTTCTGGTTCCAATCCCAGTTTCGGTTCCAATTCGGGTTCTGGTTCCAGTCCCAGTTTCGGTGCCAATTCGGGTTCTGGTTCTGGTTCCGGTTCCGGTTCTGGTTCTGGTTCTGGTTCTGGTTCTGGTTCTGGTTCTGGTTCTGGTTCTGGTTCCATTGACGGTGCTGGTTCTGGCTGTGTGAACAGTATTGTGGACTGCTGAGTTGCAGTTGTCCTGTGCTCTTCTCTTCTTTCTTTTTTTAATTTTTACCTTGGGCCTGACCCGCCTGGGCCCATTAATTTCAGATAGATAGACAAGATAGAGAGTTTGTCACCTAACAAGTTTGCGGCAGAGCGGCTGTCCTCTTCGCTTCTTTCTTTTTTTTTCTTGGGCTCATTAATTTCAGGGGGAGAGTATAAAATTGCCAGAAGCAGTGCAGGGCCTGCTGGATGCCTATGCGGCACGATATCATGCGCTGAAGGCTCCACGGAAACTTCAGTGGAAGACTCAGCTTGGTACAGTGAAGGTGAGTTTGTAATTCTCTCTTTTTTTTTTCCCCCCGCAAACTTTTCGCATATTTCATATCATCATTGCGTAAGGGGCCATTTGACGTTAGGTGTGTGGAATGAGAGTGTGTCTAAGTGTAATCAGGGTGTAAAGTTGTAGATACTGTAAAGGGTCACTGGAGGTGTATGAAGAGGGTTGTGGGTGCTCAGAGGCTTCTTGGGTGTGTGTATTTATTACTGTTCAGGGTATCAAGAGAGTTCTTAAGGGGTGTAGGGGGGTGTAGGGAGGTGCAGGCAAGGGCTCAGGCACTCTCCAGCGGTCGGGGGGTGGATGAAGAGGCATGAAGGTGGCCGATGAGACGTAAGCGAGATATTGTACAGTGCCAGGTCAGTGGTGACGTAGGGTGTCACATGGCTGTCAACTTGTCAAGGGGATTTTAAGAAGTGGGGGGGCAAGGGGGTGAGGAGGGGAATTAGTGCGGTGGGTGTTTCTGTGTTACAGTCTTGTTTTGGGGGGATGGAAGAGTATGGAGGAAGGGAATTAGGGAGGTGGGGTGGCCGGGGGAGGATTGTTTGTTTGCTGGGTGGGAGAGGAGGGGAAGTTGGCGCATGGAGCTTGCAGTGTTGCAGTGTTGCAGTGTTGCTGTTGGTGGTGGCGGGGAGGGGCATGGGGGGGCGGGCGGCAGAGGGGAACCGTCTGGGAGGTCTTGGGAGAGGTAGGTGGTTGACACAGGCTCTTGTATGTGTTCAACCCTAACCAGCTCTTGTGTGTGCTGACAAAGCTGCATCACACAGCCGTGGCTCAGCACTCGTTCCGGGCCATGGGCAACTTCTTTTTTTTGCCTTTTTTTTGGGGGGGGGGGGGGGGGGCTCATGGTGCGACATAAAAAGAGAAAAAGGAGGAGGAGGTGGAAGAAAGCTTACTATGATGCATGCGGTTGAAGTTTGAACTGCAGTTACTGCACACGTCTTGAGAAATTTGCCAAATAAAAGTTATAAAATATAGCTTACTAAGCTAGGCTACCAGAGTGGCCCGGGGCCAATTGCCCGGCCGGGCACAAAAAAAAATAAAATAAAAATTGAAACTTTATTTTTTATTTTAAATTTGGTAAAGGATTTCGATGTGACCCTGAGGCAAAAGTTGTTCAGTTTATTTTTCTTCATAACATAGTTTTGTTTCGGATTTTTTTGATTTTTTTTTTAATTATGTTTTTCTGCTAGGACCTTCCCTGGTCCTTGCACGGCGGGGCCGGCCGGGAAAATAGGGTGACCCGGGTGGCCCGGCTGGTAGCCTAGTTACTAAGCCCATCACACCATAAATAATAGGTAAAACACACAGAAATTGAAACCAAATGTCAGGAGGAGTTGAAAAAAAAAAGATGCTATTAGACCACCACTACCTTTCGGGCCAGAAGGCGAAGTTGTAAATATAACTTATACTGCATTCTTCAGAGCCTGGCGGAGGCCAGGCGCTACCGGACGAAAAAGGCTGGGGTCCCCAGCGAAAACAAAACAAAAAAATGCCGCGGTTGCACTTCGGCCAGAGATTGGCGCACAGTTCTACTCCGCCTTGGCAAAAAGCGGCTCGGAGGTAGTGGTGGTTTAAGACGGAGAAAAGAAAAAAGAGAAAAGAACGACGATTTTTGGTACAGGTTTGTTCTCCTGCATATTGAAAATGATGCTGCAATTGTAAAACAGGAAAACTGAACAGAACAACCATGATATTGTCTCCCCAACCCCAACCCCAACCCCAACCCCCCCAACCCCGCTCCTTTTTTCTTTTTAAAGGAGGGGGGGGGGGGGGGGGGGGGGGGGGCAACCTCCTAACTCTACCGAACTTGGTATTGTTTGAACTCGTGATCTGTTTATCAACAGTTTATACCTTTATAACTTTATATGTTATGTATGCAAAATTCAGCCACAAGGCAGGTACATCCCCCACCCTCCTTTTCTTCTTTATCACTTTCTTTTTTCTGAAACCTTCAGTACAAATGTATCTGAAATCTATCTGAAGATTCTGATCGCATTTAGAGGACAAGGTCACTCTACTGCTTACAACACCCCGTTCCCTGTCTAAGGACATACTCATGCTAGCTTTATCTGACATGTATCTGACCGCTTTTACGGCCAGACCTGGATGTATATGACCGCACTTACGTCCGTAAACAAGTAAAAAAGTCCTAGTGTGAGTGTGCGCTAAGTCGTAGGCAAACTTCTTTATTTCCTAGCTTTTGGGCATTTGTCACATTTCAATATTGGCAAGTTTGGGCCTGTCTCAGTTGGTACACCCATAAACTGTTGAGATGCAGATCTGAGTTCAAGTCCCTAGATGAACGTAACGAAATAATTCTGAATTACCTGGCCCAAGTCACCATGCAATGATAATATCTCAAAGGCCGTCAGTGCCCGACACCCTTTTTAATAAAAAAAGGTTTCGTATGTCACAGATCACAAGTCTCTTATTGCATGCAACAAGAGTAGAGGCTGCCCTGTCCCAAAAACTTAAATTTAAAAGAAAGAATGAATAAATATAATTAAATAGTAAATAGTAAATACAGATAAATAATAAAGTAAAAGTAGGGGTGGAAGAAGTGTACTGTGAGGGATTATGTCCCAATGCTGCCAACTCCCATCATACCCTCTGAACCATTTTCTTTTTCTTTTTTTTTCCCTCTGAAGTTTTTTGCTTCAACATGTCAATGTTATCAAGTTAGGAAAAAAGAAAAGAAAAGAAAAGAAAAGAAAAGAAAAGAAAAGAAAAGAAAAGATTGCAAGATTGACCTTTCACCAATTTGGCGACCCTGAATTATTTTGAAAATTCGTTTCTATTTTGTTTAACTGTTCCAGTTGGAGCTTGAGTTCGAGGACCGGACTGTGCAGTTTACAGTATCTCCAGTCCATGCAGTCTTGGTGATGCATTTTGAAAAGACCAACAGGTTTCCGGCTTCTTTCATTATCAGTCACGCCCTCTTTGCTCTTCATACCAACTACTCTTCCTCCCTCCCTCCCTCCGTTGTTCACCTCCTCTTCCTCCCTTCCTCCCTTCTTTAACCCCCCTTCCTCCTTTCTCACCCTCTTCCTCCCATCTCACCTCCCATCTTACCTCCCATCTTACCTCCCATCTTACCTCCCTTCTGCACCCCCCTTCCTCCCTCTGCACCCCCCTTCGTCCTTTCTAACCCTCTTCCTCCCATCTTACCTCCGTTCTGCACCCGCCTTCCTCCCTCTGCACCCACCTTCCTCCCTCTGCACCCACCTTCTCCCTTCCTCCGACCCCCCCTCCACCCATCTTACCTCTCAACCTCCCTTCTTTAACCCCCCTCCCTCCTTTCTCACCCCCTTCCTCCCATCTTACCTCCCTTCTGCACCCGCCTTCCTCTCGTCTCCTCCTCCTTCCTCCGTTCCTCCCTTCCTCCCTGCCTCCATTCCTCACTTGTTCCACACACACTTGGTGCGTTTTTTCCCTCCATTATGAGCCTGTATGACCATGTGCATGTACATGTACATGTCAAACAGATGGATGTGGTTGGAATGTGGGGAGGCTTCTATCTTTCCTGTTTGTGGTTGGAATGTTGTGTATGTCTGCCACCACACTGCTTGGGGAGGGGGGTTCCATGGAGAAACTGCAAATGACATTTTAGAGGATGTGGAAGGGGTATTCTGTCGCCTCCCTGACCCCTTTAAACTCCAGTGGGAGCCCCGTCTACTGGCCCAATACGCCTCCTTGAGTTTTCCCCTACGGCTGTCAGGTTTCGCCTTGTTGGGAGGGGTTCCACATACGGTCGGCTAAGACTCCACTGCTTCATGCCACGACAAGGTTTCTCTTACGGTAAAGACTGGATACAAACTTCAAAGGACAGATCTTTCTCAGGGTAGTGAACAGATGCGGGCTTCGAAACATGAAGTCTGCAAGTTCCCAGCCCAGTGCACTATTCAGCATACAGCCGGTAAAGCAGAGGGAGGGCCGGTGAGCAAAAAGAGCAAGAAGGCAGGTTGCCCGGGCAAGTGACAGTGCAAGCAGCAAAGCAAAGCAGACAGATGTAAAGCAGAGCGTAGCCGGGCGCACAGTTAGGGAGGAAGCAAAGCAACATGACAAGTCGCAGCCAAACGAACATCAGGCGACTGGGCGGGAAGGGAACAGAACAGGCAGGAGGGAATGCAGCAAGGCAATACAAAGCAAGGGGATGACCAGCCAGGCAGCAGGGCGTTAGTAAAGCAGAGGGTGGGATGGCGGACGCAAAAGGCAAAGCAGAGGAACAGACAAACAACAGCCAGGAGAACAGTCAAGCAAGCAGGCGGCAGGCGGCAAAGTAGGCAGCACAGCAACAAGGCAAGCAAGTTGGTAGGCAGAGGCAGGAGGAAGGGAGGCAAGTGGGCAGGCAGGTAGCAAAGCCAAGCAGCGATACAAAGCAAGGGTAGGATCAGCCAGGCAGTGGGTCTATGGTAAAGCAGATGGTGGGATGGAAGATGGAAAAGGAGGAAAGCAAAGGAACAGACAAGTAACAGCCAGGCTAATAGTCGAGCGAGCAGGCGGCAGGCGGCAAAGTAGGCAGCACAGCGACCAAGGATGTATCAGCAAGGCGAGCAAGTTGGTAGGCAGAGGCAGGAGCAAGGAAGGCAACTGGGCAGGCAGGTAGCAAAGCTAAGCAGTACGGTAGCAAGGCAGTGGGCCATCACCAACAAGGCGGTCCGCACATACACCACGAACCGAAGCTCACTCCACATGTAGAACTCTAAAGACTATAGGCTCGCGAACCTCACGCCATCATCAGAGTTAGAGTCAGGGAGTCATTTTGACGAATGTGAGTAATCGGCAGGGAGCAGAGAGAGGCGCAGGCGTCTCGAACACAGAGACCCCCTCATAGTGTTGCAGACACTTCAAACAAATACAGGCACCGACTGTTTGGCACATCTTAAGGGTATTCACACATGGACACCGAGGAGAACACAGCTATGAAACCACGCGTTCATTGAACGAGCAAATCCCGCTCAGAAACTGAACGGATTGAACGCTCATTCAATGGAAGCGCTGGAACGCGGAGTTCAATTCCGTGGTTCGGCCCCTGGGGCCGCAGAGGAGGGGGGGGGGGGGGGGGGGGCGCCTCAGGAAAGGGGTCGTTGCGGCTTTGTTAGGGGCCGCGGCCGCGGACACAAGAAAAAAGGGAGACAAAAAAAAGGAAACACAAAAATAAAAAGGAAAAAAGGCCCTGAGAGACCCGCCCCATCGGTCTCCATAAAAAGGCCCTGAGAGACCCGCCCCATCGGTCTCCATAACAGTGACTGCGGGAGAATCGAATGGCGCACATTGACACTTGCACCGTTCGACTGGTGGAACTTGGGTGCACACTTGGAGAGAGAGAGAGAGAGAGAGAGAGAGAGAGAGAGAGAGAGAGAGAGAGAGAGAGAGAAGCTGCTCGACAGAGAAATGCGGTGTGAGCGGGTGGAGGGAATCGGCGATCACAGGACGAAGACGGCAAACGGAGCAGCGCAGCGACAAGGTGGGGGGTTGAGACTAAAATTTTTGAACTTCGTTCAGAAATTGAACGCGCGTTCAAATGCTTTGAATGCCGTTTGAAAATTTGAATGGGGGTTGTGGGTGGCCCGGGGGTCGGCATCATTTCGCAGGGGGGTGGGTGGGTTCGAGGGCCTCGGCAGTGACTTCTCGGGCTAATCGGGGTGGGTGCTTCGAGGGGTTTCTGGGGGTGGTTGAGCGGCGGTTTGTGGAAGGGTGTTCGGGGCCTTTGGTGGGGTTGCTCGAAGCCTGTCGGGGAGGGTCATTGGATCCCATCGGAACCATGGGAAGGGGCCAGGCGCGCCCCTTCGAGGAGGCCGATGAGCTCACACATCAGAAGGCCCAAAGGATGTGCATCATCTTCAAATACATTCGCGTCGGGCAAGACCTGAGCAACCGCGAGATGAAGATGTTTAAGTGCGTATTCTGCGGGCAGAAATTCCAGGGCACACAATTTGTTGTGGCGCGACACTTCAGGCAGGGGAAGGGGTGTTTGTAGGTGACAGACGAGGCATAGGTGGACATCCACTACAACAACTACAAGATGTCGGGAAAGTAGTTGGAGCGGTTACAGTGTTATGAGGAGCTCCACGGAGGTGCTCCACCTATGGACACAGGTCGCGCGGCAGGAGGGGAGGGCGACTCTGGTGCAGGCGGCGACGAAGTGGGAGGGCAGGGTGTGGATGTTGTGATCGATGACGATGCGGCGCAGGAAGGGGTGCAAGTTCCCCACACGTAGTGGCCAAAGGGAAGGCTGTAGTGGGTGAGACTTTAGGGAAGAGGAGGGAAAGAGAGGAAAGGGGGGAATGCGGGGGCGCAAAAGAAGATGACACAGCCCACAATCAAGGATGTGTTCGCCTCGCAATGGCTCGTGGATCACAAGAAGAAATTTCTGCGATTCGTGTACAGCCAGCAGTTGCCCTTCAACGTCTTCAGCATCGAGGCGTGGAAGGAGTAGAAGAAGCACTTCGCTGACTTGCCCTTGCCTATGAAGGTGTTATGGCCTTCCCACACACGGATCGTAGCGATGGAGTCCGTGCGTCAGACTGCAGATGATGTTGCTGCCGATCCGAAGGACATCAAGGAGCCGTTTTCCGTCACGGGCGTCATGATCCTGTGAGACGCCAGGAAGTCTCACAATCACCGGCCTGTAGGCAACTTCCTTGCCGTAGCATCACGAGGCGTGTTGATGATCAGGACGATGGACAGGGAGGGTTCCTGTGACAATGGGCCTAGTGTTCTGGAGCGTTGGGTGGACGCTTTTCTAGCAGTTTGCCCAAAATGGGTCAACGCTGTCCGCATGGACTCGGCGGCAGCGTATAGCGCTGCTGCGAATGCGTTGGCCCATTCAAGGATGAGGCCGCATTAAAGACGCAACACGTGGATCCCGTGCACAGTGCATGTCTGCAACAAGTTGTTGTTAGACATAGGCACAGCGAGTGAGTGGGTCAGGGGCACTTTACTGCGGGCAAGAGCGGTTGTGCGCTTCATCAAAGTGCACGGTGCCGCTCTCCATCTTTTTAAGTAGGAGAGCAAACACATGGGGCTCATTTACCCGTGTGAGACATGTTTCGCGTCGGTCTTTGCCATGTTGGAGCATCTCCTGGCTGTAAGAAAGGCCTTGGAGAGGACTAATAATACCGCAGGGTGGAGTCTTGTCCCTTGGGATGCACACATTAACCAGTTCGTTGGATGGGTGAGGTGGCA